TTCTGCATAGAGCAAATGACCATATATGGCAATCCGGCTTGGAATGACATCATACCGAAAAGAGTTTAAAACAGAGCATTCAGAAGAGGACGCTTTGGCTCACATGGATTTAAAAAAAATACTTTGACCTCATTATTTGAAGCTTTGGTCATGTTTAACATGAAGATTTGGTCCCAAGAAATTCATTACATCAGTCTCTAGCTCCATCATTCTTGGTTAAATAGGTGAAATATAATAAAAGGAGGTGAAATATAATTGATGGACAGCTAAAAAATTGGAGGATAGTGGAGGCCCCCCTTGGAGCCATAAACAACAGGAGTAGTATGTAAAGGTTACCAATGCGCGCTCCCGCAAAACGTGCAGGTGAAAAATTTTGATTAATAAAAATTTTTAAAAAAAAAATAAAAATGTTGGGGGGTCGTAATGAGGTTGAACAACAAAAGGTGAAGAGGGGTGTGAAAATGGGGGTTTGTATTTAGGAAAGTCCTGTCTTATCCTCTAATAGTGTCATATGTGTCAATAAGTGTCATAGCGTCCTCCAGCTTTCCAGTTTAACCCAGCTAGACTTTTCTAAGTAGGCTAGTTGTATATTTGACACAGCATTGTAGGCTAGACAATGACTCACCAGCAGCTCAGCCCCAGAGGCCCCTGTTCTTCTCTGCAACATTTTCCATGTTTTTAAGAAATGGTTTTGTAGCAAAATAAAGGGTAATTTTATCCTACGTAACACTCTGGAGTCTGACAAGGAAGCTAGAAAACCAAGACGGCTCCATCTTCCTTCTCACACCTGTCCACTTAAAAAACCCTGGGTTTCCCCTGGTTTTGTGGATCACGTATTTCCGTTGTGGTCTGGAACGGGTATAAGGGCTGTGGGCGACATGGTGATGGATGGTGTGATGTTCTTTGATCAGCTCAGAGAGAAGTACATTCTTTCTCAGAATAGCTTCAGATATTTGCAAATACACCGTTTTATCACCTCTCCTATTAAGTTGCACCCCAAGGGAGTTTCTCTTGTCAGCCCTGTGATGAACTGGCGACCTGTCCAGGATGTACCCTTCCTTTTGCCCATGTCGGCTGGGATTGGCTCTAACTCGCTTACAACCCTGCATGTGTAAGCGTTTATAGTAATGGATGAATGGATGGGTTCTCTCTTTTGAGTGTGCAGAAGGCTATTCAAAATCTTGATACCAGGAAACTTATCACCCAGTTTTATAAGGCCCTGTCTATTCCACATTACAAATGCACAGCTCATTTCAGGTCTCTTGGGGAGGCTGACTTTGGAGAGACTATTCTGGATGATGAGTGGGATAGTGTTTGGTCAAGCTCTTCAGGACGCTTATTTACCAATAAAACTAGGTAGTTGCAATTTAAGGTTATACATAGGCTTCAAATTATTCTGGGGAAGGATAACAAGTATAATCATTTGCTTTCAAAATACTGTAATACATGTAAAGCTAAAGGTTTAAACTAAAGTCTGAAAGAACACCAGAGAACAAGTCAAAAAAGATACAAGGTAAAAGAAAAAAAACAATAACTTTTTACCCAATCTGCTGAAAACTACAACAGTGACATTAGAAAAATACTGTTTATAATAGTACACTTAAACTGTAATGGATTTTGAGGCCTTACCTCTGAATTTCTTGGGTGGGTTGTTGAGGTCGCCTGTGTCCGGTTGTACCACACAGCGGTCATCCACAAGCCTGGGAACATCATTATAATGAGTCACTAAAGACACTTAAATAGACTTTAAACCTCAATACTCCTTCTAAAAGCTTTCATTTTCCATATATGAACTATGGGTTGGGGTATAGGTTGTGTGAACAATGCAACATGCTAATGACAGTGATAACTTAGCTAACACAACTGAATTGTTTTGCTAATTCATGCAGCTCATGTATCCAAAATTAGTTCTCCAAATCTAAGAAAATAATCTATTTAGCAAGAACTAACTGACAGAAACGATTGGAATGACAGCTATGTCCCAGAAAGCATACACCCTAGTCAGTAAGTCTTTTCACAGCATTTTGACATGGAATATCACAGGTACAGTGTATTTTATAACATTAATTAATGGCTGCATTCCATTTAAATGAGTCTGTTCCCAGTTTCTTGTATTCTGAATGGTCACTGACTGACCCAGCTTACCCAGACATTTAATAAAAAGGTACCCTGTGGAGGTTTTGACCATTAGTAGCACTATGGAGCAGGTGTGTTATGAGTGACTCCACATGGCTCCCCATTTTGCTTGTTTTGTGCACATGTACAAGGACCCACATGCATGGCTGACATGATACACAGTCCTGTCAATGGTGTCAGATTTTTCCAATGATCTACTTTTGGCTGTAACATGCAGCAAAGGCAGAGAAGACGCTGGTAAACACAGATTTAAACAAGAGAGGAATACTTAAAGAAAAATGGATTGCAAATGTATTTATTAATAAATACATTTGCAATCCATTTTTCACGTTAGAGCTAAACATAACTTCCGTGATTCTGTGATTATAAGAAAACTCAGCAGCAGAATCCATCATTAACAGTATTAGAAATGATCATGCTTTTCGTGTTATATGTATTATATGAAAAAGTAGAAACTGCTTGATTGAATCTGAAGTGCCAGCTCATTTACAGCACATGAATAGCAGGATAAAGACATTATAATACATTATTATTACATTGTATTCATAAGCACCCCAGGAAGGCTCTTGTGTTCAATATTCTCCAACACCTGAGTTCAACGCGGGAGTCTGAACAATCTAAACAACCTAAACCTCTTCTAACCACTGAAAGAGTGCAACCCACCACACTAAAAACAGGCTGTGCAAACATCACGTTCTAAAGTTTAAAATGAATGGAGCCGTCAACCACAAACTGAGAGGATGAGGTTACAGATTTCTGAACTGGGGCACAAGTGATTATTGTACCTGTAAACAAAAAGGGAACCTGGGGCTTTCTTAAAGAATTTAACAACAGCGCAACTTCATCAAAATTGACTTTAGCACCGTAATTCCACCTTGTCTAGCAATTTCTTCAAACAATATACAAAATATGTTGGTAAAACACTTAAAAGCATACCCAGGAACTCTGGGGAACCCCCTGGGAATACTATCAGATAGTAGGATAGCACAAATACAAAACTTCAGTGGGATGCTCTAGCTGGCCGAGTCAGTTACATCTTTTTATAGCTCACACAGTGCACACTGCACTGCAGGAGCACTGTTAGGATGAAGGAAGAATACACATGGTGTGAGAATCTAGAAATGAAAAGCCTTCATCACACCGCTAGGCAAAGGTCCAAAACAAAGAGGCCATCTGTATCCAAGGTCAAGAAGAAATCTCCTCTTGCATTCTGGGACACAGCCTTACGTCCTAGTCTCCCAGCATCAAGTCGTTGGACGGCATCCACTCTGAGGCAGCAGTGGTCCAGGTGGTTGCAGCCATCTCTCAGGGGTCACATTCAATATGCTGACAGCAAAAGCAACACCTAATACAATAATGCTATTTATAGTTACGTCCTCTAAGCTCTTCTCATTAACAGGAGAGTTCACAGCAACAGCGGAGGGGTGATTACTAGGCATGACAATACTAGATGGGAAATTTGACAAACGAGCTCTGTCATGGTGGCAGTCTTCAAAGCTGTGCACACATTTGTTGCCGTGGTGGGTGACGCACGACACTAAAACTGTGAAAGAGCATGATTCCTGAGAGCTGGCAAGGAGGAGGGCCCGGCACGGCCTGTGGTGTGTGGCAAACAGAATAGTGACATGGTAAGAGGAGGAAGATTGCTGCACTTAGATGCTCCGATGCTGTGCTCATAGCATTTTGTTATTTCTGACTGCCAAGACTTGCTCAATTTGCACATAATGAGATGCACTTTTAACTCGTTGCCTACAATTAGGGAGGGGGGAAGACTCCGTCAAGTACTTAAATAAATGGTGCTCAGCATGTGGTAGGAAGAGGCATGATAATTTGAGGCCAGAGTACCAACTGAGCGCACAATATCAAGGAAATAAAAAGGAGAGCAATGACTACTGCAGGATCCACCACTTCTCAACTTCTGTTTTCATAGATAAAACAAAAGCATCAGATTAAGGCAATATAGACATTTGACTGCAGTCAGTCTTCCCATTGATAAGCTGACCATGCTGCAAGAGGTACAGATATGCGGGAACCATTAGCTTTGTAGTTGAAAACACCAGCGTCTTCTGGTTCTCCTATAAAACTTTCTATATTAAAAAGGACTTGAAACCCGGTATCTATACAGTATATGGAGATGCCAGCTGTGTGAAACATGATTTTCGTACTTACGAAATACATAAAACAGGGCTAAGAAAGCTGTTGTTTAATTAGGCAAACAAATTACAGCAGAGCAAATAGGTTCCGCCTGTTACTGTGGGCAAAATAAATACTTCAGCTTGAGTCTAAAGAGGGTTCAGTCCAGATAAATTGAGGAGGTGGGTCTTCAGTTTGTGTTTAAAGATAGTTATTCTGCAATCCTTCATTTCCTTCTCTAGTTTAAGGATTCATTTAAGTCTGTCTCTGTTTCAGGATACCCAAACTCAACTCTCACATTTCCTTTGTTTCACTGAAATCAGATCACTTCACCATAAAATGTGAAGGAACAATGGGTAATGTTCATGTTGGCACTTTGTACTTGCCACCAACCAAACAGGCTTTTAAATCTATTCAATATAAAATGAGTCCATCTATTATACTTCCCCATCAACTCAGCACAGCCATCTGTTTGGCTTGAAAATAGCAACCATGTCGGTCATAACATGCGTTACTGTGTTTATTTTGTAGCTTGTACTATGTTATAGTTGTGTACTCTGCACAGTGAGATAATACTGTATGAAACTCCATCCATCCAACAAGCTCACCTGAAATCCTGCAGCTTGAGGTAGCAGGGAGGTGGGGGTGGTGAAAGGGTCATGAAAACCGACAGAAATTCAAGCAGGCTTACCCTAAAGTGCTGATAAATCCACAGGTGGAGCCCTCTGCATACAGGGAACAAATGTCCCCAATATGGAGGAAACTGGACATCTTGTCCGACATGGTTCCTCAGGTTTGACTACACCTGCAAAAGATTGACAACAAATGTCTTTAAAGCTCTATCAACTCACAAGCTTTGAAATATTAGTTAATATTTCACTCAACTAGTCAGTTAAGTGATAAAAATAATCTTTTAGATAATGCATCAATCGTATACATCACTCATAAAGTAAAATACTAAACATTTGCTTGTTACAGTGTCATGTTTGTGCACACACGCGATGTCAGTAGCTGATTTAGCTGAAAAGGAATTGTAAACAGCACCTACAAGGATCCATTATTACTTTTATGGCACTGACTTTGCTGCTGGAGTTTGCAGCGGGTTCCAGACCATCTGAATTTTTTAAGCCCATCCTAAGAGCACCACCTACTGTAAGACCGTAAGTAGTAATTGTGGAGATTAGAAAAGATTTGAAAATATTAATATTATTAGCTTATTAATAAGATTAACATTATTTACATTACACACAAATAACTGAGCTATAGTGATAATCTTTGTGTAAATGTGTCCACGTGCATTTTGTTAACATGAGTTATGTCCCTTTTAATTTAAAACAAAAAGACATAATACCATGGATGAGTAATTAACTTAACTGAGTATTCAACTTAACTGAGTATTCAAGTTAGACACAGAATTACTAGTTCTGAAACAATAAAATATTCCTGCCAAGAAAATGAAATTATGTTCCTCTGTGCACTGTGCCATGCCTGAGGGAAACCAACACATGCAAATATTAAAATTAGGCCTCCACTCTTTAGTCTCTTTCCAGGAGAAGCCTGTGGGGGACAAAAAACAATATCCCTAACCCAAAATAGGTTACGTGGTCAACGTAGTCTGTCCTCTTTCTGTTGTCAAAGATCATTTTAGTTTGGACTTTGACACAGACTCAAAAGTATGCGGCCCTGTACAATCAAGCAATATCATTTAAAGGAGAAAAGCACAAAATACGACATTTTTCATTAAATATAGCTACGTTTATTTCTATAAAATTGATTTGTGCGTATGAAGCTGAAGGTCATATTCAGGCTACCTAGACTCAGATGTCCCACTCCACTCATCTGTGACACCTACACTACGTAAAGTTTATATTTGGTTCCACAATATGTAAAGTAATTTGAACGCCCTGTGACACACTTACGCACGTTTTCTGAGACGCCAAATGTGACACTAACACCTCTGCTAGCTCCAATAAAAACTGGGTCGCCTCATTCTTTTTTTGTTTGGTTTTTTTTTAATCGCGCGAGCTGCAGCAAAACAACAGCAACAAACGAGCGCGTGGGCTATTTCCTTGACAGGGATGCTTTCAGCTCAGTGTTACAATGAGCAATGCCCTAGCTGGAAAAGCTACAGACAGATAAGGACTTTACCTGACAGAAATGAAAGAAGGCGTCAAAGACAGAGAGGGAAAGGACCGCGTGAGGAAGTGGGTCAGCGCAGGATCATTTCCACAGCGCTATCCTCGGTTAAGTCCATGGTAGTGAAACTCCAGGTAAGAGCAGGCTGAGTTGCGTTATCTCTGACAGCTGAACGCGTCCTCGGCAACAATCCGCTTCTTACCTCCTCCACATGTCACTGAGGGAACGCCCCTTTCGGTACTATTTATACTGCAGCAGATCTCTCTGGGTAATGTAGTTCTTTAGGCATTTAAACTGACACGTGCAGTGCTCATAATAAGCAACAGACTGTAAAACACTGATAATACAATTCAAATATGCATTGTTGTCTTGATAGAAACTGTCCTTTTATTTCATTTCACTTCATTTTATTAAATTTTTTAGATATAAGGTTTTCATCTTTGAGGTGAAGAAAGTGGTGGCCTTAGTCACTTCAGTTTCATTCAATTACTATATTCATCCCCAGCTGAGCACACATCTCACAAAAACACATAATAACATAACATATAATACATTTGGAACATTTTTTAGTTTTTTTGAAAGTTGCTAACTTGTATAAACATGAAAATAATTGCAATGGTGCACAATGAGCATAGAGGTATGTTTTCTCTCCTTTGGTGGGTGTATCAGAGGTGTTACCCATTTAGCAACATGTATATAAACCACAGACTGTATAAACACAGCCATATTAAAAAGTGAATTGCAGTGCAGTTGTGTACACAATCGGATGCTCAAGGCACCACCGTTTCAGTTTAAATAAACATTTTGCGCTGGTCATTGTTTACAGTCCAATTAGCAATAGCAATTTCAGAATCCATAAGCTATCATCCACAAACGATACAAAAATCTTGTCCCTTGAGTACACATTCAGCGTTTGCATGTAGATATTGGTTAATAGGGATTTGAAAATCACTGACTGAAATAAACTGAGAGATTTAAACAACTACTAAATGGATTTCCATGAAATTGTTTACAGACATTCATGGTCACCAGAGGATTAATCCCACTGACCTTGGTGATTCCCATAACTTTAGTGCCAGCAGATGATCATTTCTGTTGTTTCACTTTTCCTGTGAAAAATCTCAGCATCCCTAGGTTAATTGAATTCACAAACTTTTGTACAGACATTCGTTGTTGTTCAATGCTTTGGTTTATAATGTAATATAAATGCAAGATTAATGACATTCCCATCAGCCTCAGCTGACATACATCAGTATGTCAACGCTGTCATTGTGAACATGTTAGTATGCTGAGGTTAGCATTTAGGTTGCTGAGGTTAGCATTTAGGTTGCTGAGGTTAGCATTTAGTTCAAAGGACCACTCTGTACTCACAGAGCCGCTGGTGTGACAGTTCAGTGATGAAATGATTTCTAAAAAAGAGAATCCGACCTCCCAGTTTAAATTACATACTGTGCAGCACACAACAGCGAATTAGGGCCACTGTAGGAAAAACAAATTACGAAACAAGGGGAGGGGATAATATTCAGAGAAAAAAAATCACAAATTTACAAGAAAAAAACACAAATATTCTCTGAGATTATAAAGTCATACGTTTACGAGAAAAAAGTCTTACAAAATACTAGTTTTCAGATATGCCTCCGTACTCTATTAAAGTAGGGTATGCAGAGCCGTCACAGCTAAGCTCCTTTCACCAACCAGTATTTTGAGATACTTCAAAGACCAAAAGCATAAAGAAATTAGCAGAAGAACTGCAGACAATTATAAATTACTAAGATGTGACATGCTTAAACTTTGGCTTTGTTGTGGTGCTCTGCCTAACTGTCTGAAAGCCCCACCACTTCTCTATGTCTGCACTGAATCTTGTCTTGTTTTATAAATTACTTGAAGTTTTTCTAGAATATTTTTTAAAAAAATTCTCGGAACATTACCTCCCTTCCCCCGGCTCTCTACAATGACGATCAGTCGCAAGTACAAATAACTCCTTCACATGTGTCACATGTTACGGACTGTAGTGAACATGTATCTGATGACCAATTCCATGTGACTGGAGGTTTTCTTTCAATGTCTATATTATTTCATGTATATAGTGTCAAGAACAGCAGCACACATACTGCCTTACAAAGAGGCGATCACGCTGTGCATGTCAAAGTATGAAAGGACATGAGATAAAGACATCAGCTGTGTGTCCAGTCCCCTGTCAGAAACACTGATTCGGCCACCGGCAGTTAGATTTCTAGGTTAGTGATGAGGGCACGTGTTTAGAGTCTATTAAATTAGAGTCCATGTTTATATGTTTATTTCTTTTTCCAAAGAGACTATTGTTATATTTTGCTGGGTATAACAGACTACGTGCCATACTCTTACAGAGAGTTTTGTCCGTGGACCACAAGGTTTCCGAGTTTATGATGTGAGCTTTGGAAACCTCAGTCTCACAACTTTCAGTGAGATCTAGTTCATTTGCAGTTGACCCATTATTATCACACTGTGACATTTTCAGCTACTGGAATTGGAACAGACTAGTGTACCGACATATTCAGAAGCATGTGTGATACTGAACTCACACATAACTTGCCATATGAATAAAATTAAGTGTAGACAGACCAGTCCTCAAAGGTCATTCTTCCAAAAAAAAAAAAAAAACTCACCTCCACGAAAGCCTGCATACAGAAGATGGTTACATTTGAAAAATGTGCTAAAGCTTGATTATTCATAACCATTACTACTTCTAATATGAATGAGAGACAGAGATACACAGGAAGAGAAAAAGCACTTTCATCCCTAATATGGGCTCAGTGGCATTAACCAAAGCCACTGATGAGCTGCTAATTTGGTTTCTTAGCTACAGCATCTCAAGGGATAATAAGAGTGGAGTAAGTGGTGGTGCACAAGTGTCCATTACCATGAAAGTGCTTCTCTCCTTTTTCTGCATTCCACATCTGCTTTTCTCCGGTCTTTAAGATGCAAATGGATGCAGAATGTTGTAGAGTGGTCTGAGGCCACAAAAAAACTTTCACACTGATTGATGTTTTCATGCTCTTTATTCATGTTCTGTTCCTAGTGTTGACATAAAATCCAGCTGTGGTATGATGTAGTGGAACAACAACACATTACGAATGTGATGCCACTTTATGTCCTGCCAGAAAATCTCCCCTTTTACTGGATATGCAATCAGTCACCATTAACAACTTGTACCCCAAATTATATCAAAGTACATCCAAAACCACTTATGTAGAAACAGACCATGCTACTCCCTTTGTTAAATCATAATCAGTGTGAAAGGAAGGATGAAGGATAAGGGCTTTGTCTCAGAGTATCATTGTCGGACGCGAGCATGTGTGTGTTTCTGAATGCGCTGATGTCAAATTCATGACATCACAATATCTAAGAGACTAACCTTTATTTCACAAAAAGTGTTGTCTGGCTTTGGCTAAATTTGACATTAAGTGAAGTACAGAATACAGATCACTGAGTACTCAGTTGTCATGGATACAGTGTACAGACGACTGGCTACCATTCTACCACAGAGCAAAAAAAAAAGGGTTGTATATAAAACTGGACACAACTGATGCTGTGTTTATGAATTGTAGCAAATCTGATGTCAGACAAAGTTATGATTTGTAGCTTGGTAAAGATAATGCTTTCTTTATACCCTGGGTATTTGGGTCAGTGTTTTATTATAGAACCCTGCCTGAAACTGAAGAGCTGGTCTGCTGTCAAAAGGTCTTTCCCTCACACAATACATGATCACAACAGTCAACAACCATTGATATAAATAGACAGGAGATGGGATGGATGTGGAGACAGATTTCCAACATACAGTAAGGGTCATGAACAAGAACTCAAGTTTGGTGGGAGGGGGAGGTGATTCATCCCGATTGGTAGTCTGACTTGTAGCGGACTTAGAGACATGGGCTGGTTTTCCAGACAGAATTAACAAATGACTAACAAATTAATGAATGCAGCATCTGCATGCTTGGAATGCACCAGAGACAGAGGGATTACAAAAAAAAAAAAGCAACCATCTGTGTGGGTGCACAGATTGCGAGATTCATCACTGTGCATGTGTTAGAGTGAGTATTCTCATGTGCAGATTCAGGCCTTCCGTAAGCAGCGATGTGTGGGCACAATGGTTGGTAGTTTTCTTGTCTGAGGCTCTGATAGTCCTCTGTGTGGGCCCATGCCTGCAAACTAATCCTCGCATTCATCAGAAATGTCAGAATAGAGCTAAATATATTGGGAACAAAGAGTCTCTTGTTTGGAAATAATGTTCAATCTTGATTTCATCTCAGAGATTAAGTTCCAAAGTCCACATCAAGTCTAGTCTTCTTTTAAGGAGAGATGGAGGACTCTGTAACTCTATAACTTTACAAATTTAAAATTTAGTGTCCTCTAACTGCTGTTCTGGATCTGGGACAGTGAACCACTTAAGACATGATGCCGCAGGGAGCAAGAACCATAGATAATGTCTTATTAGCAATTTCAATCTTAATGTAGAATACTGATACAACTTTGTTTAACTTCAACACGTCACATTCACAGTTGTGTATTCTGTACAGATTTGGTCCATTTGACAATTTAATCTCTATTATTGGAGCTCTCACGACTAGAGCAATGAGTCAAGGCTTTCTCAAGACCAGAGTGTAACATGCACAACTGGAGGACAGACCTTTGTGGTGTGAAGTGTGGCCACCAAACAAACAAAACACACACATTGACATTAAATACCGAGCACAGGACCTTCCAGCATAGTGTGAAAAGAAGGTCATACAAACATCAAGTCTTTTATCCTTTCTCTGTCTGCCAGCATTTTTGAGTCTGTGACAGGGACGGGATGTCAACGAACAGTCCCTGTAGAGTCGAGTCAGTTGCACAGTGTAAGCTTCGGAGGTTTACCATACATCAGTTTGCCCCTCCCAAGAAACCCTGCATGAAACCAACCCAACATCTACTTTTGCAGACCACAGTCAACCACTGAGCAAGAAGTGGGTTAGGAGAACATACAGCTGAACCATCGGGCGTGAGAAAGGGATATAGTGAAGACTTTTTGTTTTCCTCGTTTTAATAGCCTTGCAGCCTGTTTGCTGATATTCATGCCAGTGTTTCCTTATAAACGGAAGGTCCCACCTCCTGTCTTGCCTGCAAGACAACAAGTATTGGTGAGGCACCCTAGTATAACGTAGAGATCTACCTCACTAAAAATA